GGAGCGTGAATATGCAGAGAAGAGTTAACCACAACGACAAGGTTTGAGTCTGGTGAAGAGCAGTTCCAGAAAGCGAGTAAGACAAAATCAGAAACCAAAAAATAAAATAAACAAGTAAAAAACTGGATGAGAATGTGGTAAAAAAAAAATGCGATAAAAAAAAACGGCGAAGGCTTTTCTTTTTCTGGATTGCTTTTGAAAACACTATTGGTTGGGTTTAGGGAAGGAGGAGGATGAATCAGTCGATTGGTCAGTTAGTCGACAGCGACCTTTGGTGTATTTACGCCAGAACAGCAAATTGTACCTCCTGGGACGTATTTGGTGCTCTCCAGAAATATATATAAGGGTACGTTTTTAGAATGAGCCTGGGTTGGTTTAAGCAGTTAGTCCTGAACTAAAAGGATTTGTCATAATAAAATGTAGATGGATAGAAAACAATTATTTAAGTTCTGCAACATGAAAACGTTTTAAGTAACATTGTTAAAGTCAAAATAAATACATGAATACTTCGTCTAGAAAAAGAGACGTTTTATACTTGCTAAGAACATTCAAAAAATGATATTATATAATGTAAGTCGAACATTAAGGGAACATTTTAGAAGTTAAAATTGGAATTTGGGTATAGCATTTTCAGTCGAGCATGCAGTGTATTCTCCCTAATGGAATTAACCATTATTTGTTTAACCACAGTTTTACTATAAACACCATGGTTAAACTAAAGGTACTTTGCGGTTACCTGGTTTTAAATACAAAATTATCAAAAAAGGTTTATTTGTAGTAAAACCATAGTTTATTTTGTAAGGGCTGTGATTACCTTGTTTGATGTCAAAATTAAGTGTCTCTTATGCTTTTCCTTGAAAGCAGCTCAGTAGCTTTTGTAACAGAGCAGAAATGCAAATGTACACTCGAATGGACATGCTTCATTACAACATTTACTTTAACAGTGTTGTATGTGTCGTTTTATTTGCATTAAAGCTGGCTGTGGTCGTGGAGCTGCTGGCAACATGAGCACAAACGGATAGTACTTTTTTCTGCTGACTCAGTCGCCCGTTTCCTCAGTCAATTATGCACATAATCTACGTAATGAGATTTCCAATGACATGGGCGAAACATTAACCCTCTGGGCTCGCCTGCTGTTGCAATCACAGCTTCATAGCTCTCAATTATGCTGCAGTATAGTGTTACCTGCATTATTTACCACAGAGATACGCAAATGGACACACACAGAGAGTGCTTCATTTCACCCTGCCGCATCCCTAATGTCTCTTTCAATCCCATTCAGACATAAATCACGTCTTCCAGCTGTAAACACAGAACTTAGCATAGCCTGCTCTGTGCACTATAGGATTAAACGTGAACTATATTTATTGCATATAGTTTTTTATTGTTGTGGTTGTTGAGCAGTTATGTTTTTTAAGACGTGGTTTATATTGCATGTAGCTTGTCTATATAATGTTACTTTAAAGATCCATGGATTTTATATAGAGCCAGATTAACTAAACTGTGCACAATTAGACCAACACTTACCCCTGCATCAACTATCAAAGCAGTCTAAAATGGGTTGCAGCCTGAGATGTGTTGCATAAAGCATCTTTGGGTTTTTAACCCAGGCAAGTTCACTTTTGAGCAAACCCTGAGTTTCAGGCTCATAAAGGTGGGTTGGTTTACAGTGGGTTTTGTCAACATGGCAATGGGCTATATGCACACTGACTTTAAATTTTCAGCCAGGCAGCCCAAGGGCTTCTGGTGAACTGTCTTTCCATTACAAAATTGCCACGTTTAAGATCTGATTTCTTTAAAAATCTTATAATGCGGATGGACTGTTTGAAACAATAAGTGTGTTCTGAGACTGAAACATTATGAAAACATTTTGAATAACATTATCATAACCAAAATTAATAGTTCTTTCCCAGAGATGGGTTGTGGCTGGAAGGGCATCCGCTGCGTAAAAACGTGCTGGATAAGTTGGTGGTTCATTCCGCTGTGGCGACCCTGGATTAAAAAAGGGACTAAGCCGACAAGAAAATTAATGAAAAAAATGAAAAATGAATACTTTGTCTAGAAAAAAATAAACAATATTTAAAATTTTCTAAGAACATTCAAAAAAATTTTTAAACAATATAAGTCGAACATTAAGGGAACAGTTTAGAACCTAAAAATGTAAGTTGGGTATGGCTTTTTCAATTGAGCATGCAGTGTATTCTCCCTAATGGAATTAACCACATGTTTTGTTATAATTAAAGTATTTGAAACATGTTTTTGGCAGATGACAATTTGTAAAACCACAGTTTTCTGTAAATATAGCATAAATGTAAAAAGGGGAACTTCTTATGTAATGAGGTACACCTTTTTCCCATTGCATATCTTTAGTTTGTTTTTTTATCCTAGTAGTGTACTTGTTGTCTATTGTGATTGTAAATAACTTATTATTTTTGCAGGTATTATGGTTTATCTGTTATTTGAAGCAATGAAAGACACATTGAATACACACGAATAAAACATTACACTACTGTACATTAGCTATGCTGTAGAAGTAGAAAAGACACTTTGGTTTAAACGAAAAGCTAGCATTTTGGAAGAGTTATTTTCAACACAACACAAACAGAACACTGAAGTATAAATGACTGCATGCAAGGCATGTGCCACGGCTTACGGAGATCACTCGACACAGAAGTATAATTCAGCCTTTACAGAGTGACATAACAAGACCAAAACATTTTCAGCTCAGAATATATTTACTGCACACTGGGAGCCCATGACAGACTTAAAGCTGCTTTATATGATTTCAGACACCAACCTGGCTAACACCACTTAACATTACAAATGTAGAATAGTTGTGGATAGCTTTGAGTTTGCCTGCACTTAAGGATATTATAGCAGAACTGAGCAGTCCTGTAGCTCAGTGGATTCTCAATGGTCTGTGTACGAAATCGTCACCTATACCTTTAAATAGTGCACTATTTGATGGCCCAGCCTTTGGTCAAAAACATGTCAAAAATTATTGTGCATGTCTGTGGGGTAAAGATGGCAAAACGATGGCTCAGCGGTTAGCACTGTTGCCTCACAGCAAGAAGGTTGCTGGGTTGAGTCCAGGCTGGGCCAGTTGGCGTTTCTGTGTTGAAGTGAATTAGCTCAAAGTGAATTGAAAATTAATTTGAGCGGGGCTTCAAAAGAATCGACTCTTTAAATCCGAACAAACAAATCATCCAGCGAACGTTCAAATGGACAGTTGACTTCAATTGCGGCTATTGCTATCAAAATAAAAACCCATTTATGTTTAAGCAGAGTAACAAGATCGAAGTTTAAGACATTAGATTCATGCACAGGCACCTTTTTTTATACAAAATGACACTTTATTGACTAATCTAACTGAAACTTAACACCTAACACAAACACACATTCATACAAGTGTGAGAGTGAGAGAGTGAGAATGTAAGGATGGAAAACCTCTGATTTTGTAAGACCAAACCAAGCGACCCAAAAATAATCAATTTAACCCTTCTATGATCTCTTTAGGGTTACATTTTGTTCACACCAGTTAAGTGGTAGTTTGGAAATGTTACTTGCGTTTTTTTTTTGATGTGAAGAACTTCCTCTGTTGAGCAAGTGGTTAGCTGGTGGTCAGTTATTTGTCCTTGCGAGGCTTAAAGTGGGGTTGAGTCGGTCATTTCAAGTTTGAAGCGACAATAGGGCTAGCCGTGTTGACTACTGGTTTCAAGGCACAGTAAACTTAACTAGACTCTGGACTGAAAAGAAAGAAATATATCAGAGATAGGAATGTATGAGCTGTGCGGTTAACCCATTTTGTCAGGGTCCATTCTAGTTCTATGTTTACTTTGCTCTAGGCGGTGGCCTTAGGTCACAAGCCTTTATAAGGATGTGTTTGTACCCACTTTCCAGTTCATGTTTTATATAACTTCTCCTAGAGCATGGCAGCTCAAACCTGTTCCTTGAGAATTACCTTGCTGCAAAGTTCAGCTCCAACCCTGATCAAACACACCTGAACCAATTCATTTGGACCTGAAGAGCAGTTGATAATTACAGGCAGGTGTGTTTGATATGGGTTGCAACTGAAATCTGCAGAAAGGTAGATCTCCAGGAACAGGGTTGAGCACCCCTGTCCCAGAGAAACAGAATGTTAAATGAGAAAACAATGGGCGTGGCTTGTTTTTTTTCTACTGCGAGCTGATTGTATGTAGTAAAGTAGGCATTTCATTTAGAAAGGTGTGGAAAAGGGCATCTCCTCCTCACCATTTCTGTTTGTTGTCAAAACTGACAGTTGTAGCAGCTTCGGTAAATATGTTAGCCCTGCGTAATTCCTAAGATATACATAATCTGACAATTAAACTGAAAACAAACTTGAAGTGTATTTTCAGATTTCAGCTAAAGATTAGAAGGACAAACAAACTTTTTTTTTCCTAATGGCATGCACAGATGAATTGTTCACCATATAACTGGCAATGTGAGCTAACAAAATGCACATAACGGTTTTGATTTCTTGGGCACTTTAATTTGTAATTGAAGATTTCTGATGAATACAATTTTTCTAATTATATAATACCTTTTGTTATAATTTTGATAGTCAACAGAGTATTACTCTGTAGATGTCAAATAGGAATCAAGGTTTGACATCAAATTGCTTAGTATTTTGGATGTGTTTTGACATCAAGGTGCCATGTTGGGTTCTCTTTTGTGAACTAAAATCATCAACCTCTTTGTTAAAGAAAACCTGTCATACTGTATTACATACATTAAACTTGCCGATCTTCAATTCCAGTGCCTAGAAAAGACAAAAACACTAGGCTTAACTCTTCTGTAATCAATCAATGTTGGACAAATGAAATGGATGCGTTCACTCAGCCTGTAACCACTATGACATGTCAGCAGTTATTGATAAATGTTAGCAGTTCAGATGCTACAGTCTCACAGTGAGTACTATCAGCCGACCCTTTGTCTGTTCAGGATCAATAACATGAGCAATTGTGTGATGTTTTCCTCAGGCTGGAGTTTCAGTATGGGCTCTGCTTATCAGTTCCACAGCTGGAGGGTGTTTGTGGTGGTTTGCGCTCTTCCATGCGTTTGTGCTGTCGTGGCCTTAACCTTCATGCCGGAGAGCCCACGCTTCTACTTGGAGGTGAGGAGCATCTCAAACCAGGTTAAAAGTTCTAATGAAAACTCCATTAGCAGATACGTAGTTTGCAGATACAGTGCATCCGGAAAGTATTCATATCATTCACCTTTTTTGTATGTAACAGCCTTATTCCAAAATAGTTAAAATTAATTTATTTCCTCAAAATTCTACACACACTACCCTATAATGACAGTCACTCCCACTAGCCACTTTGGCTGGTTGAAAATAAATTTTAAATTGTGGTTTGCTTAAAAGCAGGGTTTGACTATAAGGATGACCCAATATGTGTGCAAATGTGATCTTAGAATCGAGAAACAGCACGACTAACAAAAATAATTGCTTTCGCTTGAGCAATAGAAAGCAAGTGAATATTGAATGAGAGGATGATCACTCACGCAAACTGCTGATGTGATGCACACGACTGTTTAAAGCGCGTGCGCGCTCCTGTTTCCTTGCTTGAAGCAACCATCCCTTGAACGCAACTGTGATCGGTTCTCTTTCATATAGAACAGACCGAAAGTGTTGCTAATGCACCAACAGTCTTGCTGCTTTCAAGAGCTCCAATTGTGTCTTTTTGTAAGCAGCACCGGTTGGTTTCGCCTTGGACAGATTATTAATTGGCCTTAACCGTGGGATCATCATTTCATTATCACACAGTATGTTTTTCACCTGCTTTTTTTTTGCTTACGATTATTTTTGTTTATGGTTTAATTATCTTTTTTTTTTTTACAACAACATTTCTTTCATTTGAGATTAACTCTCCATTTATGTGTAGTTAACTAGTGATCTTAGAGACCTTTAATGAGGACAGATTACTGTGCATATTTTTGATATGTCAATGATTATGTTTAAAAGTCAATTGTTTTTCTTTTTTTTTTTTTAATGTTTTGTTAAATAAAAAGTATAGTATACAACTATATTTAGCTTGTTTTGAGACATTTAAGATATGTGACTAAGAAATAATTATTGTTTGGTGTGGTCAGAGATAAATTTGGTAAATCCCTAATTTTAAGTTCTGAAAATCCATGTGAAATAAAAACTAATTGTAATATAACACCGTGAAACCATGATCCATACACGACACACTACATGTGGAATGAACGAGGAGGCATGTTGACAAAACACAAAATCTAAATCAAGTGATTTTAGCATGACAAAATTATATTTATGCATATAAAAAATATTTTCACAACAACAAAATTTTGGCTAGTAAAAATGCAGAGTGGCTAGTAACGTTGGAAATCTACTAGCCATTGTGGCTGGTTATCAAAAAAGTTGTCAAGCCCTGGTAATCAATATGCTAAGAAAAAAAAAGGATTACTACACCTCTAACATAGTAAATCCATGGTTAATTTATGCAAGAAATGTCCAAAAAACTCACAGAACTTTTATTTATTTATCATATATCAAATTGTATGATGTTACATTATTAAAATACATGGTTTATAGCTAACATAGTTTCTAGCTATCATGATTAGAAGAACATCCGTTTAGTTTACTGTAAATGACTAAACTCTGAGGAAACTGAGGAAACAGGCTGACTGCAGTGAACGTGACTGTCTTTGAAGCTAATGACGTGTGTTTGTCGTGACTCTTTCGTGGCAGTCGAGGTGGGCGTCTGTCATCCAGCGCTGCGGTTTCCACTTAATCCACTTAATCTCTCCGAAATGTTTTTGGTTCTCTCCTTTCAGGTGGGGAAGCACGACGAGGCCTGGATGATCCTCAAGCAGATTCATGACACAAACATGCGAGCGCGTGGACAGCCAGAGAAAGTCTTCACCGTGAGTCGATTCCCTAACTTTAAGCTGCTTAGAGCCCAGAGCATGCTTTAAAGTTGCTTCAATTCATGAATGATTGTCTCATCCTGCGCTCTATGTGTGCTTTTCTGATGTTTTTGGTGTCATTTACTGAGCCTCAGAATTAGAGGCAGATTGCAGCCTGCTTTAAGACTTTTCAGCAGCAGTAATGATGAAGATTAAGATGTCACCAAAATTGGTATAATATACAGTGGTCTTCAAAAGTATTTGCATATCCAAAGCGATAGTTCAACCAAAAATGAAAAATTACTCACCTCACACAAAGCTACTTTGTATCTGAAATACTTAAAAGAAACACTCAAACTAGATACATTTGAGGCCTTGAGACGAAGAACTCAAGTCCATATTTTCTAATTTTGAGTAATAAGATTTCATTTGGATTTGGAACATTATATTATACATTTTTATTCTATTTTATGTTATTATATACAATGGACAACAAAAGCTTCTCAATTCTAAGAAGATAACATTTTTTTGTGTCAGTATTAAAAACCTAAAGTGATTTATATTTCTCAAATGTGGAAGAACGCCATATGTCCAGTTAATGTTGAATAATGGTATAACTCTGTTTCATTGTATCACTTAAAACTACTAAAGATCTGATTCCTCTGTCTTAGTTTTAATACAGTAACAGAAACTTTTATATTATATTTATATTATATTATTTTATATCATATTTTTATAAAATATTAGGCATTTCTTTCAAGTTTATTATTATTATTATTATTATTATTAATATTATTATTATTATTATTATTATTATTTAAACACAGAAACTACAGTATGAACAATGTACATTACATAGGCCTTCTTACAGTACAGACAATAACAAACAATTCGTCACCTTGAAATGATAAGTTTCTATTTGCTCTATTATGTGTGCAACATTTGTTTTTTTAAATAAAAAGTCTTCAAATGTAAACAACTTATAAAAAAAACATCCCATAATGTAAATAAGTTATATGTAGAATATGTCAATAACTCAATTTAGACAAAAATGTCAGATAGAACCTTATAATTCTGAGGTGACGAATTATTAACAATAAACCATAAATAAATGTATAAATACAACAATAAATACCTAAATTGCAGACATACATCATAGCTAAATATTGTGGTTTATTTAGAAATATACATGCGCTGGCGCAGTGCACTTGTATATATACTACTTCAAACTGTTCAAGCACTCCACCTGCTTACAATATAAATAAATATACAAACAAATATACTCGTAGTTTACATAGGGCTGGGGGGAAATATACATTGATACAGCTTTATTATATATGGTTTGTGGTTTATTTTGATAGGTTAATTGTTTTTGTGGGTGGCAGGGCGGTGCAGTGGGTAACGTTGTTGCCTCAAGGCAACAAGGTCACTGGTTCAAGCCTCGGCTGGGTCAGCTGGCATTTCTATGCGGAGTTTGCATGTTTACACCTTGTTGGCATGGCTTTCCTGCGGGTTCCCCCTATAAGTCCAAAGACAAGCCCCAGAGGTGTATTGAATAAACGAAATTGTCCTTAATGTATGTGTGTGAATAACAGTGTATGGGTGTTTCCCAGTGATGGGTTGCAGCTGGAAGGGCATCTGCTGTGTAAAACATATGCTAGATAAGTTGGTGGTTCATTCCACTGCGTTGAGCCCTGATTAATAAAGGGACTGAGCTGAAAAGAGAATGAAGAAATGAATTAACTGTTTTTGTACTGTTTAGCACTCCTCTGTGTGTTCAGAGAGAGAGAGAGAGAGAGAGAGAGAGAGAGACCTTACATCACATATACGGTTCTTCCACTCAGGTCTTTTGGTGTTTTTTTCCCTGTATTTTGTTCTCTTTTTGATTAAAATATGGTTTTCCAGCATCTCTCAAAGCCTTCCTTACTCTGTCTTTCCATTTGTTCATGTCGGCTCTCCTTTTTTTTCCATGCGACGCCATTTTAATGTTTAAAATGCGAACTTGGTCATGCAACAATATCCTCAAAGTGTTTCTATATAAAAGGTTCACACAAACAGCTAAAGAGTTCAGATGCAAATACCTTGCAAAGAGTTCACAATTAGCTGAGGATTGATAAGAAAGTGTATTTGACATTCTGTCCTGGGAGAGAGCCCTGAGCTCAGAATGTCCTCGAGCTTGGGGCTCCCTCCTGTTAGAAGGGCAAGAGAGGAGTTTGAGCTCAGGTAGGTCTCGAGAACTCCTTTGCTAAGAGTTTGTCTTAAGATGCTATTTTGAAGTTGTTATTTACTTATGGTTTCTGTCTTTGTACGGTGAGAGGAAACCGGGAAACTCGGGGAAAACCCATGCGTGCACAGGGGGAACTTGCAAACTCTGCACAGAAATGCTGACCGGCCTAGTGAAGGGCCGAACCAGCGGCATTTTTGCTGTGAGGCAGCAGTGCTAACCACTGGGTCGCTGTGCCATTCTATCAGGAGAGGGGGAGGAATAGGGGTGGAAAGAGGGATTCTTGATTATAAATAAACCACAGTAAGTGCCATCTGAAATTTTCCTCTAAAATTTGTGTTTTTTCAGCCTGCTATGTTTATGTTCAGTTTTTTAAAAGAATCTATCTATTATTTGAACTCTCTAAACACAACAACCTCAGAAAAATGCTAATTTTATATGAAAATTTCAGTTGGCACTTAGAGGTTTTTGCATCTAAACTCTTTAGTTAATGTCACATCTCATTTTTTATTTTTATAAATATTTGTATAAATGCTTATACGGTTGTTCAACACATGCACTCATTTAGAATTAGAAATTAGAAACAAGCCTAAATTTTGGGTTTTTGATGACTAGTCTATTTTTGAACTATAATTAGATGCCTATTAGATTTTCACTCAGAGGCCAAATTTAGCCTTGATTTAGACCTCTCTGTTTGAATCTCTAATAGATGTCTTTTAAACACAAAACGTACTTGCTGTGCATTTACTCGCCTCAGTTGGTTCTAACTATTTTAGTTTCATGTGTCTTTATAATGTCTTTAAATCAAACTATATATTTTGTTGAACGATGGCTTTTGTACGTGGCTTTGGTAACTTTGTTTCTGCTCATAGGTGAACAGAATTAAAATCCCGAAGCAGATTGATGAGTTTGTCGAGATGCACGAATCGGGCAACTTTTTCTCAAAAGCGATCTTCAGAATAAAGACAGAGCTTCATGGGGTAAGATTTACAATCCCTATCAGTAAAAAAGATCATCGTTGTTATCAATTATATAAATCACAGAATTTTTTTTATGAGACAGTAAAAATGATAGTTCACTGATTTCTGTCCTTTCAGATTTGGTTGAACTTCTTGAAGTGTTTTAATTACCCAGTGAAAGAGAGCACAGTGAAGCTTGCTATTGTGTGGCTTACACTGTCGTTTGGGTAAGACCTTCCTCTGTCTGTCTGTCTGTCTGTCTGTGTATTTCTTGGCACAACAGTAAAAGGTAATACAGTACTGTATGTATCTTGTATATGCATGTTTTGGTATGTTTTCAACAATTAAACATTTTTTTCTTATTTTTTCTTATTAAAAAAGAATTAATAAAAAATAGCTTCTCTGTCATGCGTCTATAAATAAAAGCACATTTATATGGGACCCTCTATTACTTGCTAATTAATATATTAACAATATATTTATTCTGTAAGTTAAGATGACCTAACACAAGCTAACATTATTTGACTTAAATAACGTTAACTAACATTAACAAAGATGATAAAATACAGTAATAAACGTATTACATACATAAAACATATTTACCAACATTAACTAATGGACCATAATTATAAAGTGCTACTAATTTGTTTGTTCTTCAATTGGTTCATTGACATTTATTTATTTATTTATTTGTTTATTTATTTATTTTCATTTTTTTATTTGTTTGTTCGTTCGTTCGTTCGTTCATTCGTTCGTCCGTTCGTTTATTTATTTATTTATTTATTTATTTATTTATTTATTTATTTATTTATTTATATGCCATAAAGTGCATTGATTAAACGTGTTAAATTATTCTCTGATTTGTGCTTAGAAAAGTTCAACCTTACCACTGTAATCTAGTTTGCTCCTATATACTTTAATTTATATAAAACAAAGGCATCAATATTAACTTTATTAACATATCACATTATATTGTGATATGACACAATGCAAAAACATGCATTAAAGACTTAAACTACAATTAAGCAGTCTACAGTAGTCAACATTTGAAGTTAAAACCTTTTATAAAAGATGTCCAAAAACTAATCAGCAACACCCATTCTTGTCTTCATTTTGAAAAACTTGTGACTACCTCAAATGGTGACTAAGGCTGCATTCATACTGCAGATCTTGATGGTCAGTTTTGATTTTGTGATTGTATGAGATTTTTTGGATGATTTTTTCCCTGTTTACATGTACATGGGCCATATCCAATCTGTGCAACATAGGAAACAAACGTTACAAACATCAGTGGCAAATTTTACAATATACACGTTAACTAGCATAGACACAGTACATTATGCCTCTTCTGGCATGCGCTGAATTAGCTTTTAACCTGTACACTCACTGGCCACTTTATTAGGTATACCTATCCAACTGTTTGTTAACACAAATTTCTAATCAGCCAATCACAAGGCAGCAACTTAATGCATTTAGGCATGTAGACATGATCAAGACAATCTGCTGCAGTTCAAATCGAGCATCAGAATGGGGAGAAAAGGTGATTTAAGTGACTTTAAATGTAGCACGGTTGTTGGTGCCAGACTGGCTGGTCTGTGTATTTCAGAAACTGCTGATCTACTGGGATTTTCACGCACAACCATGTCTGGGGTTTACAGAGAATGGTCTGAAAAAGAGAATTTATATAGTGAGCGGCAGTTCTGGGGGTACAAATGTCTTGTTGATGCTAGAGGTCAGAGGAGAATGGCCAGACTGGTTTAAAATGAATAAAAGGCAACAGTAACTCAAATAACCACTCGTTACAACCAAGGTATGCAAAAGAGCATGTCTGAACGCACAACATGTCCAACCTTAAAACTGATGAAAAGACCACATCAGCTAAGAACAAGAAACTGAGACTACAATTCCCACAGGCTCATGGACAATAGAAGATTGGAAAAACATTGCCTGGTCTGATGAGTCTCGATTTCTGCTGTGACATTCGGATGGTAGGGTCAGAATTTGTTGTCAATAACATGAAAGCTTGGATCCATTCTGCCTAGTATCATCGGTTCAGGCTGGTGATGTTGGTGCTATGGTGAGAGGGATATTTTCTTGGCACACTTTGGGCTCATTAGTACTAATTGAGCATTGTGTCAACACCACAGCCTACCTGAGTATTGTTGCTGACCATGTCCATCCCTTTATGACCACAGTGTAAGCGTGAATCATCTCAGACTGGTTTCTTGAACTTGACAATAAGTTCACTGTAGTCAAATGGCCTCCACAGTCAAAAGATCTCAATCTAATAGAGCACCTTTAAGATGTGGTGGAACGGGAGATTTACATCATGGATGTGCAGCCGACAAATTTGCAGCAACTGCGTGATGCTATCATGTCAATATGGACCAAAATCTCTGAGGAATTTTCCAGTACCTTGTTGAATCTATGCCACGATGGATTAAAAAAGTTCTGTTGGCAAAAGGGGGTCTAACCTGGTACTTGTAAGGTGTACCTGATAAAGTGGCCGGTGAGCATTTTAGATTCTGATGCGCTGTGAACCCTACGTGGTCATGAATGGCTGCCTGCTTCGCATGCATACCAAAGCAACGTTATTTGTGAAAATGTCCGATACCTACTGTACAGTATACACATACTGTATCATCACAGTGTCCATCCATTGATTTCTATCATCTCTACTGTGTATTTAAAGAACTTAATATTTCTGCAGGTATTACGGTTTATCTGTGTGGTTTCCTGACGTCATCAAACACCTTCAGAACGATGAATATGCCTCTAAAGGACAGCGGCATAACAACGAGCGCATTGAGGACTTCACCTTCAATTTCACCCTTGAAAACCAGATACACACTAATAGCTTATTCATCAACGACAGGTGACTTATTCCAAAGCTTAATCTTTTTATTAATGTCTGTATAAATTATCACATAAATCATTTCCTTTATTCTGTCCTCCAGGTTCATAAATATGAAATTCAAGTCTGTCACATTCATCAATTCCACCTTTCAAAGCTGCTTTTTTGAGGATGTGACATCCGTTGGATCTTTCTTTCGTAACTGCACATTTATAGAGGCTGTCTTCTACAACACTGGTAAAATCCTCATTTATTTTGGAACCCTTTCCACCACTTTGCTACGTATCTGTGTCTAATTATCACTTTCTGCTGTGCTTTAAACTTGACAGATATTGACGATTCCAAACTTAAGAACACAGATGTTATAAACAGTACATTTTACCACAACAAAACAGGCTGTCAAATGACTTTTGAGGATGATTACAGTGCATACTGGGTCTACTTTGTCAATTTCTTGGGAACACTAGCTGTTCTGCCTGGCAACATTGTTTCTGCACTGCTCATGGACAAAATTGGCCGCTTGTCTATGCTAGGTGAGACAAGTTTAATTCATTTTTTTTTTTTTAGAATTTAACAATGTTATAATTATTTAACATTTGTTCTATTTTTTATTTCTAACCATTCTCTCAAATAGTGTATTTGACATATAAAAAAAATGTCATGAGAGATGTTTTAATTAATTTATTTCATTTAATTTTATGCCTTACCATATTCTTTATAATATTTGTCATTAAAACTTTTTGTTTTTTGACTTACAAGAATGCTTAATTTAATTTATTTTATTTTTATTTATTTATTTATTTTATTTTATTTATTGTATTTTATCTATGCATTTTATTTATTTTATTTTACGTATGCATTTTATTGTCATTTTGATTGTCGTGAGAAAAGTGTTTTTTTATTTTTTGAATGCATTTAATTTATTTTATTTTATTTCATGTATGCATTTTATCATTTTATAAGTGTATTATTTTATTTATTTATTTATTTTATTTTGTTTATTTTATATATGCATTTTATTATTTTTTTTCATTTATTTATTTATTTATTTATTTATGTATTATTTTGTTTATTTTGTTTATTTTATTCCATGTATCCATTTTATTTTATTTTAAAACTTTTTATTTTTTTATTTATTTTATTAAAAAATGTTTATGTATGCATTTTATTTGTTTTATTTTATATATGCATTTATTTATTTTTTTTGTATGCATTTTATTGTCATTCTGTTTGTTGTGAAAGGAGTGTATTATTTAATTTAATCTAATTTATTTCATGTATGTATTTTATTTTATTTAATGTTTTAATTTATTTGTTTTATTTATTTATTTTTTTTATTTATTATTTTATTTTATTGTCATTCTGTTTGTCGTGAGAGAAGTATTTTGTCATTTATTGTACTTATTTGATTTTATTTGATTTTTCACCTATCCATATTCTTAAATATATTTGTCATTTAAACTTTTTGTCATGAGTGAAAAAAAGCTTTTATTTAATTTTAATAAATGTTATTGTTTTTTATTTATTTATTATTTATTGTTTATTTTTTAAATTTTTTAAATCATTTTTAATATTTCATTCCTCGCTTTACTATAACATTTGTTGTTTATAATTTTAGTCATGTGTGGAAAAAATAAAAAAGTCTTTCTATATGTATTTTGTGTGTCTTGTCAGGGTTTTCCATGATCCTGTCAGGTATCAGCTGCTTCTTCCTGTGGTTTGGCACCAGTGAGTCGATGATGATTGGGATGCTGTGCTTGTACAATGGCCTAAGCATTTCCGCTTGGAACTCCCTGGATGTTGTGACAACAGAGCTGTACCCTACAGACAGAAGGTGGGCTTATACTCATACATAATAAAATATGCTAACATGCACGCAACAAAGCTGTTTAATGGTCCCAAATCTCTAAGCCCATTAAAAGTCAATGTAACACCAACCTTTTAAGTTTTTTTTTTCTTTTCCGCCCTTCAGAGGAACCGGATTTGGCTTCTGTAATGCATTGTGCAAGCTGGCAGCGGTCATGGGGAATCTGATTTTTGGATCTTTAGTGGGCATCACCAAAGCCATCCCCATTCTTCTGGCATCCTCGGTGCTCGTCGGTGGAGGTCTGGTGGGACTTCGACTGCCTGACACCCGCTCTAATGTCCTCATGTAACCCTCGTGTAAGAGGTCTGGAGAAACTCAAAAGGCTTGACTTGAATGGTTACTTCACACCAAAATTAAAGTTCTGCCATCATTTATGCACCCTCATGTCATTCTAAAGCCAATAGAAATTTGTTTATCTTCTGAAAATGGATATATTTTGTAAGCATCCCAATTATGCTGTCTTTAAAGTTCCTTATTTGGTTTTGGAAGTCTCCTAGAATAAATTTAAACCCATTCAAGTTCAAAAAACACACTTGCTTTCTTTTATTATACATTTAAAATGACTAAATTTCTCGAATGATTCATTTGAAGATTCATTCTCTCTAAACCCTTTCCTACTAAGAGTTTGCTCTGTAGTGATTAGTCTACCACTTAAACCTTTCAGAAAAAAACTCCATTACAATAAGTGAAGTTTTACAAACTTAAGCTGTGGTCACACTGGATTTTTCTCCCCATAGACGTCCATTCATACGCACGCGAATGTGTCAGAACGGAAACCCAAGTTCGTGTGTCAAGTTCCGCAGTTCACTGCGTTGCAAAGTTCAAGCTTGGTGAACTCTGACCTATGAAATTGCATCACGTGACTGCGTAAGCCAATCAAGGATCTGAACATGACCTCTCTGGACAGACATGTAAAATATAGACCAATCGCTCGCTTTTATAAATGTCTAATTATCATGTTTAATCCCGCCCCTTTTCACAGCACCGTACGACAGAATTTCTCAATCTCAAATTGATCTATTTCTCCCCTTTTTAGATATCTAATCATTTATGTCAGATTTATTAATGTAGTGAATCATCTAAATTTTCATTGAGCAGGTGTTATATATGCGAGAAAATAAATAAAAACAGCGGAGTTGTTATAAATAATGAATAAAATAAATAATGAATAAAAAGAGTGAGGCTGTGGTCAAATAAATATATAAATGAAAAAAGTGCGACTGCTGAGAGTGCAAGCAGCTAGGGACACCGGCCCTCGCGGCCAAAAAATGGACTGACCCATCGGGAATTCTCTCGGTCCTCCCAATCAGCCAATCCGGACCTGGCGCTTTTTCAATGTAGATTGTGTCAAAGCCTCCTAAGCTCAAGAATATACTTGAAACCACATGATGATCTGCGAAAAATGTTTCTGAATGTAAAGACAAGTATTTCTTAGATTTCATTAATAATATCTTAATTTGTATCTCAGAGATGAATGCATTGTGGGTTTAAAATGACACAAGAGTGAATAACTTTCATTTTGGAGTGTAATAACTCTTTCCCTCCTGATTACGGTACACTGTGTTCTTAAGTAAAACCATTTTCTTCATCATCGCTAATTTAGATAGGTAGTTAGGATTGGTAGGATAGGTAGTTCATAACTATATAATTCCAAATTAGGCACTATCAAACAAGACATTTGTTGACAATCTTTAGACTTTTTTTTTGCAATAAAACAAGTGAAGATTTCAGAAGCCTCTAAATGATTTCTGAAATTCTCTTCTAAAATGAGCATTTTTCTGAAGCTCATGTGTAGGATTAGTAATTTCACTTTTATGGTCATGATTAGGCTCTTTTCATAAGTAAAATAACTAAATATAAGCTAAGGAAGATTGGAAAAAATGCTCATTTTAGAAGAACATTTTATACACACATAATTTTTGTATCTGACCTTCTCAAATTTTGCACCTTCATACTGTACTTCACCCTTCTTTGTTGTCGTTTTAAGGGTTTAGCAGCTCTGGAATGAACATGAGCATGCATATTAATGTCCCCTTATTAAGACTTGAGCAAAACAAGCTATTAATAAGCATCCAAACCTGCTGCAGATACGCAGTGAGCACGATCAGATCCAGCGAGATCTCAGCACATCTGCATCACAGCTGGCTGACTGAACCTGGAGAATTACTGACGAGATGAGAGACTGACACCGCTCTACTGTAAACAACTCTTCATTCAGAGCTTAGTTCCAGGAGTACATACTGAAAACACCCACAGAGATATGGTTATTGTATCATCTAAGAAACATCTGAGTAACTTAAATGGTTCTTCCTAAATTTTAAATTACTTATCCTCATGTCATTTCAATTGCCCGAGAACTGTCACAATTAAGATATTTAAAACACAAATTAAGATGTTTTGGATTAAATACAAGAGCTCTTTGATCCTCATTAGACAGCATTCATAGATCAGAAAATTCCAAAAAACATTCTCAAAACAGACCATCTTACTGTAGGGCTTCAGTGGTTCAATCGTAATATTGGAAATCTACGAGAATACTTTTGTGTGAACATGAACTTGAATGTGCCCCCTATACTGACACTGAGTGAAGAACCTGTTGAATAAAGTTGTTATTTTTGTTCTATGTGTATGGAATAAAATCGCTGTCATAAATATTTTGTGCGAAAATAAAATCTTTATCTGTAATTATAAAAACGAAAAGGAAAATGGAAAGTACTCATCATTTTACGAGGGTACAATTACAAAATCTGCGATTAGAACAGACACAGATACAACATTTTCTTTGTCTGTTTGTATTCATTCATTCATTTTCTTTTCGGCTTAGTCCCTTTATTAATCTGGGGCTGCCACAGCGGAATGAACCGCCAACTTATCCAGCATGTTTTTACGCAGCGTATGGCCTTCCAGCTGCAACCCATCTCTGGAAAACAACAATACACACTCACACTCGTACACTACGGACAATTTAGCTAACCCAATTCCCCTGTACCGCATGTCTTTGGACTGTGGGGGAAACCGGAGCACCCGGAGGAAACCCACATGAGCACAGGGAGAACATGCAAACTCCACACAGAAACGGCAACTGACCCAGCCAAGGCCCTAACCAGCGACCTGTCTGTGAAAAAACCAGCGTGGCCTGTCTGTTTGTATATAAATGATAAATTTACAATGGGTGTACTTTACGAACCGAAATACAGTTTCACCACGGAAACGATAACTTGATTACGAGTACGAATCAAAAAGCGCAAAATTACATCACCGCTGTCACAGGCATTTATAAACAAGCGAGAGCCATCGATCACAACGGTGCACTTGCTGGGCATTCGAGCTCCCACACACCGTCTCAGGGAAGATTTTTGTTATTCCCTCTTTGAGAAATGTCATTCATGAGCTGTAATAAAGGTTGAAACTTAATGAGGTCCATTTTGGCTGTGTTTCATAAACATTTTACATAATTGTCAGTAAATATTTACAGAAGTTTCTATTATAATTACACATGCGTGAATTTTATTCACGCACAAAATATTTATGACTGCAAATGTATTCCATATATGTGCACACAAAAGTATTCTCATCACTCAGTAATATTCAGATTGAACTGCTGAAGGCATATAGTCTGTCTTCTGTGTGTTTTTCTGGACTTTGAATCAAGTCATGGATGAGGGAGCTCTCAAATTTCATCCAAAAGATCTGATTTTATATTTCAGAGGAACGAAAGTCTGAGGGGTTTGGAATGGCATGAGGGTGAGTGATATTTAGGAATGATTATCAACAGAATTATCCCTTTAGTTGGGTTTTATATTTTGGGGAGGATGAAATCTATCATTTTCAACACTATTGTCACTATTATATTTTAAATCAAGCCTTTTGCATAAACTCCAACCTCTGATAAAAAGGCCAAAACTGTGCATCATGCTAAAAATACATGTATAATATTCCTGCAGCCGCATTTATGGATATCAGAAAGCCCTTTTTTGTGCTATATTTTTTTTTTTTTTTTATTGTGAGCATAAAGCCGTTTTGCTTTCATACACAACAGTCGTGTGTGTGTGTTATCTGTCTTGTTCTGCCACTTTGTGATTTTGTCAAACAGCGAATGGCCTTTTGAAACTGTGCCTCTCCTACATGAGATCATTATCGCGTTTGGGATACAGTAGCTGCTGTATTTGGTTTCAAAGAGAGTGTGTCTGCTGTGGATCTTGCCGTTTGATGAGGATCAGGCGTCTGGTGACGTCCTGGAAAGCCTCTTTTATGTTCAATGTCAGAGACTCATCTTGGCAGGACAGGTTTTTGCAGGTGCACAGGGAGTCTAAACGGTCCGCCTCAACATATGGGGTTACAATCTGTATAGAAGGGAAGAAAGATGCTTAATAACCACATAGAATATCATTCATTTATGAATTACCTTTCCATGCCTGTTTTGAGTTATTTTCTTGCTTTTAAATAATGACTTGAGTGTATATTTATTTGCAGGGTTACACACAATTCGTTCATGCTGTCCCAATACAAATTGATTAAAGGTGCAGTAGGTGATCTGCTAAATTGCTATCTGTTAGCATAATATCTTTAAAAACAGTTTCTCTCATCGTCCAAAGCTACCCCTCCTTAAATCACCAGCACTCACCTTAAAGGTGACAATAGACAACCCATTAGATCATGTCATTCGCCAGTTATAAAACTTTACAGTACTTTATAATACTACAATGCTGAATAAAAAAGTATTATATCTAGCACGATTTCAGTTGAGTAGCAAGCAAAACTTACCTATCATAATGTGCGATATTTCTTGCATGCAAGGATCACTGTCTCACTCTAACTCTTGCGCTTTGTCCTAAAGCGATTACTATATGTTTAGTGGTTGGCCGGCGGTGTGCAGGATTTACACTTATTACTATGCCATACTTACATGCTATTTTAGACCGAATATTCAGAGTAGCGGTAAACTATATATGGAGCGCATCACAGGCTATCATTGTTCAAAAATGAACCAATATGAATATAAAATCTCAGTAAACTTCAGCTCAGTAAAGCAGGAGGAAGATTTCAGTGGCTGAACAACACTTCTGTGCATATAACCCATTAGTAAAACAACACAATCTACATCAGCTTTGCGTGACTAAATTACCTGTCTAACAGAAATACTTCAGCCATAGTGTCGTCCTTCCTCCATTGTGCAAAAGTAACTCCAATATTAATTCAGGATTTTAAAGTTTTGATTCAGCGTTTGTTTTTACCGGCGCTCTCACTCAATCTCTCTGAACGGATCTGTGTGAATGGCTGTGCAGTTGTACAAATCTACATTTGTTGACAGACAGTTTGGACTACTTATCAGAATTAAGGGATTTATCGGCATGGCTAATTTTAATTGGATGAACTTGTTTTTTATTTTATGCCTTACCCAGAATATTAAAATAAATATAAACACATTTAGACCATTTACTTTTATTAAATCAGTACTATTGGAGTGTGAAGAGACTTTAAACCAGCACAACAAAAAATGTCTATAAAGGCAATCACCTACTGCACCTTCAAGTGGCTATTTTAAGTGGATTGATCATAAAAAAAAATATATATGTTTCCAAATACAATCTCCAGAATTGTGTTGTTTAAGCTCATTTTAAATAAGTAGTTTGAAAAAGAAGCAAAACTATATATATATATATATATATATATATATATTCAGTACATTATATATTATATTATTCAGTAAATATGAATTATACTACACTAAAAAAATATTTCTGCAAAACCATTGGAAACAATTTAAATTAGAATTTGAACAAACAAATAAATTTAGTAATATTTAACTTTTTTTGTTTGTTTGAACTCAGCCCAAACCAATAATGTTTTAATAATTTTTTTATTGATAAATGAATTCTGAAAAAAAATAACTTTTAAAATCTGATTTTACTAAATTACGCCACAGAACTTTTGAGAATTGTTAATAAGAATAATTGCTTATTCAGTACCCAATAAGCATATTTGTTAAAAATTCTGAAGGATGAGACAATAAAAAATAATATATTTTAATATATATATAACAAAAAGTTTGTTTTATTGTAATAATAATTAACATTACTTGTTTTATGATGTAATCAATGCAGTTAATGTAATAC